AAATTTTTAAAATTTTCAAAAAAAAATTTTTTTTTATTTAATTTTTATTAAAATTAAAAAGAAAAAAAAATAAAAAAAATAAAAAAATTAAAAACCTTATGCAATCAGACTAAATTGTTTAATATTACGCAAACATATACTTATAACACATGTCTCTTAATAAGAAAAATATTAAACAAGGATATTCACTCTAATATAAGCTTTACTAAAAGACACAGTACAAAAACGCCTACTCCGTAATGCTAATAATCTTATTCTACGTCCACCCCGTACTAACTATGGCAACAAAAGTTTAGTGTATGAGGGTGCGCAACTCTATAATAAATTACCAAATAGCATTAAGGACTCTCGCTCGGTCCCTAACTACTTTAAAAAAAAAACTAAAACATCATATCACAAATAAAACTTAATAATAAAATACGTACCAAAATAATAATAATTATTATTACAAATATGATTGAGTCGTTAAGTTACTTGTAGCTACATATTTATTTCCGAATTAATACAAAATAATTGTTAAAAGACAATGTAATACTTTGTCATTATTGCTAAGTAGTTTTTTGTAAATAGGTTGACAACCCCAAGAGAGAAAAATGAAAAAGCAAGATGGCTACTAATGTCTGTAAAATCACATACGTCGTGTTCTTTGTACCTTGTGCAGAAAATAAACTAAATTTGTTACAAGACTAGACTACTTTTTTACTCTTCAATAATAATTAAATTATCCAAACAAAATTAATACAATATACGAGTATATCAACATTAATAACTGAACGTCCACCTATGCCACATCTAGTAGCAACACATCTATTGTCTACGCGCCGGCCCGTACTTGGCTACGGCGGTGCACCTAATGTTTATATTTCTCTTCATACCCTCATGTGCGTGTTTCTAAGTTTGCTAAATTACTTTGTATAAATGTATTTAATTATGGTTTCTGTGTTTTTGTTATTGGTGAAGTGTTTTTCTCATGTAAGTGAATTTATTTTAATTCTTAGTGAGAAATAAAGATCTTAAACCATAAACCATAATACAAGATATAAACACCAAATTTACTGCATTAACTGAATATTACAACAATTATGGATTTTTGAATACGACATAGTTTAAAATCTTTGCAAAATAAAGAGCTCTTGAAGCACTGTAACGATTTAGGTGTAGTACTTTAAGAAAGCAAGAAAATAGCATCTTATTAAAGAGACATATCAAAGGTACTTGTACAGCTTCCTCAGAGAGAAATATTTTTAAGTTAAAAATGATTAAAACTACCTATGATCCGTGTGGTGACGGTTTAAGAATACAGAGCGTCACCACTCCTATTCATCCCGTGGGTGTCGTTAGAGACGACTAAATGCGAAAACTACGCAAAACAACAGCAATGTAACAAACAAACAACACTGCACTGTAACTTGAAACAAACCCGTCTGGCCAGCGTGGTATAGTAGGCCAAAACCTCCTTTCTAAGGAGAGGCCTATGTCCAGCAGTGGACTATTAAAGGCTGTTGATGATGATGCTGATGAAAACTACCTAAGATACAGTATCAAGTAGGTCCGACTGCCAGCTTTAGCATCGAAGCTGATTTAGCTGCAAAACTTAAATACAAATCTACCAGAGGACTTCAGTAAAGCAAAAACCCGAAGAAATTACTTTGGCAACAAATTAAATCACGCAAGTTACAAAATAAAACTTTTTTTTTTTGCTGTAGTTTAATGAGATCGCTCTGGAACCACGTTAAAATCCCAAACGAATAAATAAAGCCTGGTTTAGCCTACGTTATGATACTACGCTTTGATGCTATTGCGTGAGTTTAATTGGGTTCTCAAAATCTGATTTACTCTGGATTTGAATTTCTTTGTTTCTTCTTATTTTCTTTCTTTTTAATTTTGACTGTTTTTGTTGGATCTGTCTAGACTGGTGAAATCCGAAAATATTTATATGTTCATCCATCGGTTCTATTTGTTCACCTGTACCAAGTGTATAAAAATTGTATTCTGTCTTACCGCGATTAATAGAGTGAGTTTATTATCAGTATTATTATTTGGTCTCTCACCAGTGTCTGTGCGTACGTATATGACATATCAAAGAAGATTTGGCTGTAAATTGATTATTACATATGTCACAACAAAATGGTTTCTCACCAGTGTGTGTACGCACATGTCTTATTAAATCACTCCTGCATGAAAATTCTTTCTTACATAAATATGTCACAATTATATGTACGTATATGTTGCCTTAAATTACCGTTTGTTGAGAACCGTCTATCACATAAATCACAATAATATGGTTTCTCACCAGTGTGTGTACGCACATGTCTAATTAAATGACTCCTTTGTAAAAATTCTTTCTTACATATGTCACAATGATATGGTTTCTCACCAGTGTGTGTACGCATATGTTGCCTTAAATAACTGTTTATTGAGAACCGTTTATCACATAAATCACAATGATATGGTTTCTCACCAGTGTGTGTACTTATATGTTGCCTTAAACTCCTGTTTATTGAGAACCGTTTATCACATAAATCACAATGATATGGTTTCTCAACAGTGTGTGTACGCATATGTTTCCTTAAACTACCGTTTGTTGAGAACCGTTTATCACAAAACTCACAATGATATGGTTTCTCACCAGCGTGTGTACGCATATGTTGCCATAAACCACTTCTTGTTGAGAACCGTTTATCACATAACTCACAATGATATGGTTTCTCACCAGTGTGTGTACGCATATGTTGCTTTAAACTTTCGTTTATTGAGAACCGTTTATCACATAAATCACAATGATATGGTTTCTCAACAGTGTGTGTACGCATATGTACCCTTAAATTACCGTTTGTTGAGAACCGTTTATCACAAAACTCACAGTGATATGGTTTCTCACCAGTGTGTGTACGCATATGTAGCCTTAAACTACCCTTTGTTGAGAACCGTTTATCACAAAACTTACAATGATGTGGTTTCTCACCAGTGTGTGTACGCATATGTAGCCTTAAAATACCCTTTGTTGATAACCGTTTATCACAAAACTTACAATGATATGGTTTCTCACCAGTGTGTGTACGCATATGTACCCTTAAACTACTGTTTGTTAAGAACCGTTTATCACATAAATCACAATGATATGGTTTCTCACCAGTGTGTGTACGCATATGACTAGTTTTATAACGTTTCTGTGAAAAATTTTCATTACATATTTTACACTGATATGGTTTCGGATCGGTGTGTTTACGCGTATGATCAAGTAAAGATTTCTGTACTTTGAATTGTTTCTTACATATGTCACAATGAAATGGTTTCTCACCAGAGTGTATACGTATGTGTGTAATTATATCACTCTTTCGTAAGAATTGTTTCTTACATATGTCACAATGAAATGGTTTCTCACCAGAGTGTATACGTATGTGTCTAATTATAGAACTCTTTCGTGAGAATTGTTTCTTACATATGTCACAATGAAATGGTTTCTCACCCGTGTGTGTACGCATGTGAATAGCTAAATATTTAATGCCTAAGTAACTCTTGTTACACACATTACACTGATGTGGTTTCCGAGCGGTGTGTGTAATATTCCCATTTGAGAGATCTCTTAAAGAGTCTTGTGCGAGAACATGATGCTTCAGGTTGCTGGAGGTTAAATCTTCTGGATTTCTCTGATCATCTTGCGTAGATGCCTTCGGAGTAGGATCAACTGGATAATAAAAATGGCAATTACAGTGTGATTTTGAATATAATTAGAGTAAATAGCAGGACAGATAAAAATGCTTTAAACACAATATTTTTGAGGACTTAACATAGAACCATTTTTTAATAAAAAAAAAAACAAAAAATAAACCACTTTTATCTCAGAAATGCTGTTACGAAAAAAGTAAATTTTTGACAAAAGTGGATTTTTTCTAGGCACACGCAGACAGACGCTTACACAAAAACTAATTTGTATCATAAACAAGTACTCGTGTCGAATCTATAGTCTGTCAAGAAAGTCATGAAATTAATGTTTGTGGAACTAAAAATTCGGCAACAATTGGCAACACTCATTGTCTGCCAAACTAAGTAGTTCAGCTGTCAGCTTCGTTGTTTTGTTGTACAAATTTGTTTTTTTTGGTTTTCATGGAGTTTATTTTTATCCAGTTACAGTTTGGAGATAAAAAATGAATCGAAATACTTATAAGAGTGGTGCGAGACAGGTTGTATTCAATGTTTTTCAAGAGTGTATGACCGAATTTCAAGCGGGAAAATTTTGTTCCGATTTGGACGATATTTACGGTCGAACAGCAAAATTAACCGGTACGTAAGTATATTCTTATGTTAAACACGGTATAGGAAGTGCATATCTTGTAATAATTATTTGTTTTTATACAAATTTATCTATTTTTAAACATTGTTTTCTTTTTGTAAAGGTTATGTTATTTACCTACGAATTGTACTTCAACGCAAACATTCTTGATCCATAATGTATTAATTAATTACAGTTAATTATGAAAAATAATTTAATGGTATGGTGGTTTCAGGTGTTTCCGTAAGCACAGTTCGTCGTATAGTGGATGAAGGCTTCAAGAATGAAGGAAAATTAGTAACGCCTGGAAAACACAGACAAGGCCGGCCAAAAAAACAAATTGATGATTTTGATTTATGTGCGATTCGTCAAAAGGTTTTTTTTTTTTACACAGTGCAGAAAGAAGTACCTACGCTTAGGAAATTACTGGCAGTTGTGAAGGCAGACTTAAATTTTGATGGCAGCCATGAACTTCTAAGGCAAATTTTAATATCGATTGGCTTTAAATTTAAAAAATGCCAATCAAACAGACAAGCTTTAATCGAAAAACCTGCAATTGCTTCAAAACGCGAGTTATATTTGAAGCAGATTCTTGATAACCGAAGATTGCCTGAGGAGCTCCAAAAAAATATAATTTATTTAGATGAGAGCTACATACATGAATCGTACAAGGTCACTAAATGTTGGCAATCTATGTATATTGCTGGTGTCGAGCAAAATATTGGCAAAGGTAAGAGATGGATAATTGTGCATGCCGGAAGTGACAAAGGTTTTGTGCCTAATGCACTTCTAATATTTACGGGTAAAAATAAACAAGAGGATTACCACTCCGAGATGAATGCCCAAAATTTCACTAAATGGGTAACAGAAAAATTAATACCCAATTTGCATGAACCCTCAATTATTGTTATGGACAATGCACCATACCATTCCGTAATAACAAACAGGGTATTATAAATTTGTACTATTTCTTAATTTTTATACTTCCCTTTTTATTAAGATCTCTTAAAAATAATGAACTATTTTTGACCATATATTATGGAATGTGACTGTTATAATTTGTTTACTTCTTTATTGTAGGCTCCTACAAATGCTTCAACTGTAAATAAAATTAAATTGTGGTTACTGGAAAATAACATTCCATTTGATGAATCGTTACGAAAGCCATCTTTATTAATGCTTGTAAAAAAACACAAACCTGAACCGGTGTACCATATTGATGGTCTTCTAGGAGATCATGGGCATACAGTGATAAGACTGCCACCTTACCACTGCGACCTGAATCCTATAGAACTGGTTTGGGCAATGGTAAAGAAACGAATTGCGCAAAAGAATGTTGGTGGTCAGAATGTTGCGAAATTGGCTGAAGAAGCATTCCAGTCGGTAACACCACAAGAATGGAAGAACTGTGTTGAGCATGTAAAAAGCATTGAAAAAGAATATTTTACCCGTGGAAGAACTCTGTACAATGAGATAGACAGACTTATTGTATCTGTATGTGATGATAGTTCCAGTGATTCTGAAGAGGTAGAAGTGGACAGAATAAATTATACAGGAGTTTCCGGCAACATTTCGGGTGTTGATTACCTTGATTCAGACTGGGATGAATAAATCAGTATAAAAAATATATATAATTATAATACTTACATCTTTTATTTTCATTTTAACACCATGTGACTGTCTGGCTTACATACATATTCATACATACATACATACATATATTCATACATACTGCCTGTGTTGGTGTATTTGTCTAGCTGAATACAAGTTATCTTTAGCTACGAAAACGTAATAGCCCTTCTGTATCTATTCTGTACTTTCTCATTACACTGTGTTAAATTAAGTGTAAAAAGGTTTAATAAACACACTTTCAAAATAGCACTTAGAGCTATTTCAGCTCTTTTTAAAGTGATTTTGTTACCTCCCCCAGGAAGATATAAGATAAGTGGGAGACCACAAGCCAGAGAAGTATATTTGGTTTTTAAGAGAGAAATAAGCTTGAAATAAATAATTTTGAGCAAACGAGCACTTAGCACTTTAGTTTGTCCTACAAAATCAAGACGTTTATAATAAATAAATATTTCATAAACCCTACGCGGGTTTATACAGGGATTCTGGCAAAATAAAATAATATATTGTTTTATAAAAAAAAGTATCTACATCTTTTAGTCAAAGTACACAGGGATACCAGGTATAACAGCAGTGGCGCCCTCCATTTTTTTCATGACTTTCTTGACAGACTATAGTTGCCGTTTGTGTCCCTTATTTAAATATCTATACAGTACCGGAGTCACAAACATTAGAGTTGTTTACTTAAACAAAAACACACAGTATACATACTTGTCATGTCTCCGGTCTGTTCCTCCTTGACAGTAATTACAAAATCCTTTGAGTCTGCAGACTGTACGTTGTCAAAGATACTATTTTCTTCCAGAGTATCCTCACCGATATCTGTCAACAACATAGAGTCCTAAGTCAACAGTTATGGAGAAGTATGTTTTTAAGCTAAAGGGGGTAAAACGAGCGGATGTGTCGCGCAATGGTAAGTGACTACTGCCGTCAATGGACCTACAGGAGTGCTTAAGGGCATAAGTACGTTGGCGCCCTTTGAGTGACTGAGGTTACTCAAAGGGCGTCAAAGGCAACTAAAGAATTCAGTCTGAAATCAGTCCGGTCGAGCCGGGCCATTTGTGCTGAAGCATGCCTCTGCCAAGAGAAGAGAAAGAGAAGAGGTGTACACAAACATACTTATGTAATAAATTATAGTTTAAAAACCAAAAAACACGCTTTTGAAGCTAGCCGAACTAAAATGTGGAAAATAATGTTCTAAAAGTTTATAAAAGAAAAATCATTTTATCGTAAAAATGCGTGGGGTGGTAGATATCAGTTGTTGTAAAAATATTTTATTAAATTTAAAGTTAAGTTATTGGATAATGTAATTTTAAATTTCTTGAAAAGCATCAAACGCTTTTTTACGAATCAATGATTTTTCTGTTTGAGTTTACAGAAAATTGTTTGTGTGTGAAAATTTTAGGTATGAAAAAACCCGTTAATCCTGAAGATCCTGATCAAGATAGGCGGCCATTTTTATCAAATTATTGTATTGTCATCGGTTCTTGATAAGTGTGCGAAGTTTCCATTTAATTCGACGTTTTGAAGTGGGTCAAAATCACATTTGAAGATTCCGTTACAAACATACATACCAAGCGTATTAAAAGAAGGTACAGATACGCGACACCTCACTATCACGTGCACATAGCACATACCTTTAACCACCTGATGTTTCCGTCACGTAAAGAGACCAAATAATAATAACATGTTAAATATTACCTTCACAATCATTTGGTTCAAATTTTGCTTCACACTTCAGAGCCTCCACACCAACATTGTCTGCATTCATCTCCAGTTCATGTCCTATGCTCAAGTGTACGACATTGTCCATGGTGAGTCTCTTATTATTGTTTATTCCTGGCAGCCTCACGTGTTCGGACTGTCGGCAAGGTAAATTATTAACATATTAAAAACTTTTACGGCAACTATATTTTCTGCCAGTTTAGATTTGTCACTAAATTACAATACCAATTGTA